TTTTGTTTTTTTGTTGTGATTGGTTAGCACATCAAGATAAAAGGTGAATAGGAGCAGCATTGGCCAATGCTGTGAGTTTATTGCACCATTTTCTAATGGCATCCAAAGAAAACAAAATCAATTGGCCAACTACAGCAAAAGCAACTAGTGTCAACATGGCTTGGGGTCAACCCCAGGTGTGCCATGTCTGACTATCTTTTATATATCCAACAATTACCACCCTGATGCCCGCCCAACCAAGTAACCTCTCTCTCTTTTTGCTTTTCTCAGGTGAAGGCAGAGTTGAGGAGGTAGGTCAGCTGCTGGTCCAGGACTGCACCACTGCAGTTAAGTAGAATTGTGACTCTGTAGGAGCTTAGTTGGAGATGAGTATGTTGGAGGGGACATTAGGTGATTGTCAGAGGAAGTTGGTTTGTGCAACGCACAACATGCCTACACGACGCTATTTCTATTATATTATCTCTATAAAAGTATACATAAACGGTGGCTTGCATAAGAACAGCGTTATCTCAGTCCTCGAAGCCCACGAGCGGCAGCTTGTAGAGAAGCAGGCGTTCGTGGCCGGCGTCGGGGAAATCGGCCAGCGGTGGACCCAGGTTGAATGGTGGCACCCGCATGTTGATCGGCTCGTAGCCACCTGTGTGTGGCAGGAGTAGTTAAAAAAAAAAAAACAACCATTTGTTAAACTTCAACTGTTGTTGGATTGGTTGGTGAAGTTGGAGTTGGTTGCACAGCAACGCGTACCGAATTCGATGTCCTTGTTGATGGCGCGAGAGGGGTCGTGGGTGAGCAGGAGGTACTTGGAGCCGGTCTTGTTGAAGTTGTGCAGCACGCGCTTGACGGCCTCGTGCGGGATGTGCTGCAGGAACTCGCGCGAGAAGATGAGGTCCCAGCCCTGGCTCCAGTCGTGCGTGTTGGTCGGGTAGTCCTGCTGGGCCTGAAGCACCAGCTTGTCCACGAACTCGAACCCGTCGACCACGTCGGCGCAGTAGAACTGGAACACGTGCGGCTGCTTGGTCGGCCACGCGGCCTTGGCCTTTTCAATGTTGCCCGGCACAATGTCCACTCCTGTCAAAATAAATAATTTATAAAACATGTGTTTTTTAAATAAATAAATAAAATAAA